CCCCCCCCCCACTTCCCCAGACTGGCCTACCGTAGCTTTTCTCTTCTCCCAGTCTTACACATACCAGCTCTCATCTGTGAAAGGCACCATGTATCAGCTGCTTTGACTCTCTGAGTCACCTTCAGTCATTAATTCAGTTTGTAAACTGAAACTTTTACCATTTTTGCCATTTAAGCTATAATGACTGATGCATTGTGCATATTTCCAGATTTGGAGTTACACTGTCCTGTAGTCCTGCTGCCCAGAATGATTAGAGTTAGTTCATGTATTAGAGAGACCAAACTGCTCCTTAAAGATCCTTTCAAAACTCCCCAAATCCCACCTCTATCTATCACAGAACTGTGCGTAGACTGAAACAGCTCTCACCTTTAAAGCATAGGTGACTAGAGTAAGGCTACCAAGACATTTGAGTAGACTACATTCTCTTTCTAAACCGCTCCAGCCTCTTTTATTAAGTATTAATTAACATGGTTAGAAGCTATTTATTTATTTATGTTTCACCTTAAAGGGTTGGGGCTGTCCACACCAAATTCCCAAACATATTTTCGTCACAGTATCTTTTGCTGGTTATCCAGGCCAAGGCAGATAGGTTTTGGTCTCTTACCGGTTGGTTCAATGTTTTGAGATACAGAATCTGTCACTGAGATATCTGTCAGCGCTGTGAACACCAAATGAACTTCCGCCTTCATTATCTTGGGGTGGCAGCAGAAATCTTTGCTCTGATTTTGGTGAACTGACCTTTTAAGCTGTCCTCTACAAACGAGACATTATAGAACGGTTAAAGGATGGCTGCGTCATTGGGTTGTTGGGATATTTTGTATGAAACAACAAATTTAAAAAATGTGTTCTGCACTCTTTGAAGGCTAAAAGCTTAGCATTAGCATAAACTTCCTGTACTATCAATGGAAATCCTAAAATGTCACAAGTGACGTTAACATAACAATGAGGCTTATTTTGACATTTGAATGAAGCGCAACAGAGAATAAAGAGTCTACTCAACGTGATCTTGGGCTTAGCATACAATGCTTTCAGGAGGCGTTTTGTTTTATTTTGTTGATTTGATTGTGCTTTGTTGAAGTTTTCTTTTCTTTCACAAATGACCACTAAAGGAAATAACATGAAGGTAAGTGCAGCAAATGTCATATTTAGTATTATTTGCTGTTACGTGCTCTTTATTTATTTGTTGCTATGAGGTTACTAATAGAACAGGTTGTTCCGTCATGCTTCTGTTTCACACACAAGCACCTCTGCAGCGTCACACGCTGTGGGCTGCTGCTTTCCAAAATAAACAGAGGTGACTGTGCATGTGAGGATCTATAAGGAGGCCTAAGTACTCGATCAAATGTGTAAGCCGGAGCATGCTTTTTGACAGCACACTACGCGATAATAAACTCATATTGAGCACACTGAACAATCGCTCAGTTCCCAGCCTGTTGGGAGAACAGTTCATGTTGTTATGGCATTCTATCTGAACTCAACAGCGCATACTTTAATGTCTGTGGGATGTTTATGTTGCTGAAGGCCTTTGGCGAAAGAGTCACACCTCATTAGTTCTCGTCAGGACCTGTGGTGATTCCGTTGAGGTTACAGCACCTCTCCAGGTGTACAGACACCTTTCAGATAATAGCTGTCATAAAGTGTGTGTGTGAGTTGTAAATGTGTCTAAACATGTACAAAGTAGCAGGAAGATTCTGTGTTTTTAATGCAGTCTAAAGATGGCACCAGGCAGTACGTACTGCGTTTGTCAACTTTATGAAGTTCAATTCTTGCATTATATTGTAATAGGACTGGGCCATATGGCTGTAATGAAGGTTCACTCACGCTGACTGTGCATTAGAACCACTGACAATGTTTTTGTGAGCTCAGTAAGAAGTTAACAACCTTGGTTTGGTCTTTTATCTTTTTACCTGAATAATATACCACATTATTTGAATTATCTGTTCTATAAATGTTTGAAAGCAGCTGTGTGTGTTTTCTCCGCTCATGTTCTTCTTCCGTCTTGCAGCTGAAGCTCTGTCACCCAACACGGCCTCCCAGAGCATCAGAAGATCCTCTGAAGGTAGGGTGGACGGACTCGTTCATTTTGGCTAAATCCAAATTATGATCTTACTGGAGGGGCTCACTAGAATAAAATAAATATAGATACTAACTTTTGACCCAGACAGGCTGCTACACACACACCTTTACATACTATATATAAGAAAACATTCTTTATGTGTTAAATATAAGGGCTATTTTCATAAGTCACCTGCGTATGGAGTAGCAAAAAAAACAGTTTCTAAAATATTGCTTCACTGTGGGATCAGCAGCTTGTAGTCATGGCAAAGAAGTGTTTGCATTTACTTCAGGTGCAGCACAGTTAATTTGTGCTTTTAGTCACATCCACCCCAATAAATATTTTCTACTTTGTTTATTAACCCCATTTCTGCACCCTTCTCTCCTATGTCCATTTGTTACGGTCTCCGGTGATTAATACACCACACAGTCAGTTTGTCATTACCAGGTCAGTGTGGGGCAGGTGGAATATATCAAACTAAAGTTGGCAGGGGCAGAAGTAGTAATGTTCACAGGTGGGCAGACTTCCACTAACGCAGCTGCCCTCACGTAATAATTCTTTTTTCGATGCGCTTGGTGTAAAAGTTCTTCAAATGTTTGACTCTTTTAGCGGGGAGTTTGGTGGAGGACATTGGTGAAATGATTCTTCAGCTTCGCAGACAAGTGGAGAGCCTCTTCAGCATTAAGTACGGTAAGCTACCTGTAGTGACGGAGATTAACTCGCATTCATACGAGGGCAGGAAGTTAAGTCAGACCCATTTATTTTGGAGTAAGACTTTAATCTCCTCCACATGTACACACCCTTTACCAGTGTACAGCCAGTGTGACGCTTTTATAGTCTATTTGAATATTAGTATTTTAACTTTTATGTTTTATTTTAATTATTGAACTGCTTTGTGTGGGGCGAATTGGAGAAGATAAATCTCAATTTCATGTCATGCCAAACAGTGAATAGTGTAGTAATATGCTTCTTAAGACATTGCTTGTATTAGCAAACCAGCAACCAGTGAGCAGCACTGGATAGTACTACGTAAATAAAATCACTATACTGTTTTTTCGTCTGATCTAAAAATGTGATTTTATTTTGAAAAGCCAGGATAATACAAGTGGACACAAGGGGTTAGAGGATGTGGTCCCTGCTTAAGTTATGTTTGTATTGTTATAGGAATGATGGCCAGACCTACTAAAATAATATCCAAATTACAATAATCTTGAATTACTTCAATACTTCTGAAATGACACACATCACATTTGGACACAATCAGTGAAGTAAGTTCTGTCTCCTTTTGCTTGTGCCGTATCCTCTTCCTCAGCTGAAGCTCTGGGCCTTCCTGAACCAGCCAAGGTGCCCTACTCCAAGTTCCAGATGTACCCAGAGGATCTGTACGTCACCGGGCTGCCAGAGGGAATCTCCCTCCGGAGACCCAACTGCTTCGGAGCGGCTAAGCTGCGCAAGATCTTGGCTGCTAGCAGTCAGATCCAGTTTGTCATCAAAAGGTGAGAGCACCTAAAGCACAGTACAGTAATGTGGTATTGTAGCATAGTGTATATTATTTCAGCTGCAAATTACATCCTTTTTAACACTACTTCATTATCCATTACTCTTATATTAACAGTTAAACAAGGTTAGACATGGAAGTGACAGTTTAATTTAGGGATTCATTCACTGCTCTGTTTACTATTGTAATAACCTCTGTTTGTCTCCAGGCCTGAGCTGTTAACTGAACAAGTAAAACAAGAGATGCCTTCCATTCCCGTCTGTGACCCAGGTATGTCCGTCTTATACATGTTCGACACGCATCTATAAGACATTTAAATCTGAATAACTGAACAAATCATCAGCTTTCTGGCATACACACACAAGGGTTTTGTTCAGAGAAGAGTGCACCAACATAACATAACATCAGGGAGGGATATTCCTATATACCCTGTGCAATAAAATGAGTAGTTTACTGGAAGAAAATAATAATAATAATAAAGCCATTTAGTGCTGGTTATGGTCATGAATATGTAAATATTTGTAATGTTTCTAGCCCCATTGTTTTGCCTACATTAGTCATTTTATCATTTAAATCATGCAAATTGTTGCAACAGTAGCAACACTAAAGTGTTCGTCTGCATACAAGATTACAGAATGTTTTCAGTGGCTGCTGTCACAGCTGTCAAATTCAGCAAGTCTGAACACTGCATTTACCAAGGTGCTTGGGGCTTCAGTGGCGTGATTCTCAGTGGATCAACGATAGCAGTTGTTTGCTCTTTTTAGGGGGTTTACACTAATATTTCTGTTTGTATTTAGAAGAAAAACTTTACTCAGAGGTTAATAAATCGATTTTCTTTCCAGTGTCTTGAACCAAAGTCTTCTTGATCAGTCAACATTTAACCTTTTGCACACAAGCAAAGTCATTTTTTAATTCTACTGTAGATGCAGCATACATATACAAAAGGATATAACCCTGCAGCCATTTCACATTTTGTCATATGTGAAGCTCTGAAGATAAAGCAGAAAGGCTGTATGGGGAAAATTCCACCATCTGGAAGCTCATAATGCAGGTTTAAGATTGCTGTTTGCACTGTCCTCTGCATGCATGAAATTATGAGGTCAAATCCAGTTCATGCGCTATTTTTAAAATAGCTCCTCTAAAGAAAAAAGAAACTCCTTGCAGGGATTTCCTGCAGCTATCGCTACCTTTTATTTGTGACAAAGCTCCGCTGCTGGATGAAGGAGCACATCTTAATGTTTGTTATGTTCAGTAAATCTCAAGAAACGACAAAAACAAAAGTTTAACCTTTAAATGTTTTTTTCCAAAGAGCTGGACGCCAAGGACACAACACCAGTAACAGAGGATACTGCAGCTATATCCAAGAGACCTGGATTCTCAGGTACGTCCAAGTTTCCCCTTCAGTCACCACTTTGAAAGCTTAGATTGGATGTTGTATATTGTTTGAACATAAATCAGCCTCGTGTATTGACATTTATCGCCCTCCCTTTTAAAACGAAGCAGTGGAAAAGGCTGAAGAACTGCACTTGAAATGGAAATGTAAAAAGATGAAATTTCAAAGCGTCTCCTGTCTCCTGTCTCCTGTCTCCAGAGTGCTTGGAGTCCAAACTGTCCAGGATCGACCTGGCCAACACGCTGCGAGAGCAGGTCCAAGATCTGTTCAACAGGAAGTATGGGGAGGCATTGGGCATCAAGTACCCTGTCCAAGTGCCTTACAAGAGGATCAAGAACAACCCGGACTCGGTCATCATCGAGGGCCTTCCCCCCGGCATCCCCTTCAGAAAGCCGTGCACCTTTGGCTCCCAGAACCTGGAGAGGATCCTGGCGGTCGCTGACAAAATCAGTTTCACCATCACCAGGTGGGAACCCCCGGTCACATGATCACTTAAACCACAGTTACTTATTTCCTGTCCTTTCCATTAACACTTAAGTGGAAGCGACACCTCATGACTCTTTTTCAAACAGACATTAGCAAGCAGCCAGTTAGTACTTACTGACAGGTTGTAAAACAAATTATTAAAGATAATAATTGATTTGGATTGTGTCAAAAATTCCGGTTTTAGGTTTATAAAAGCTGTCATGATAATATAATTGCTTGGGCAACAATTAGGACGATTAAAAATCACGTTACTACTCGAGGACAGCTTTCAAGTTGAATTAATGTATCATACCACTGTTTCTTGCAGACCTTTTCAAGGACTCATTCCAAAACCAGGTAAGAACAGAATTTGGTTTTCCATCCTAAAATTTGATTAAATAATAAAAACGTAGCACAGACAACTAATATTAATGTCATCTAATAATAATAGTAATGTATAATTCATCATTTTTATCAGCACCACGACGTGTCACTTTACTAAAGAAGGCCTACGCCTCGATAAGTGGTGAGTAGAAAATGTTTTACAGCAGTCCTTCTCCTGTTTGTTGCTTCATCAGGAACTTTTCTTTTAAACAGCTGTCATTAACTGATTCTCTTCACCTGACAGATGATGACGATATTAACCGGATGGGCGAGAAAGTTGTCCTTCGAGAGCAAGTCAAGGAACTGTTTAACAAGAAATACGGTAAATAGTCCTGGAGTCTCGTGTGATGCATCAGCTTCAGTTTCAGGGCCTTATGCAAGAGTCACTACTACAAACACATTGGTTCCTAAGTGCCACGTAGGAGTGATTTAACGTCTCTCATTTATTTTCTCATATTCCGAATGTGTCTGTACAAGTCCGCTCAAACGACTCATGTACATATAGTCTGACTGGTTTGACTTAAGCATTAAAATGCCTTCAGCTGAATTCATTTGAAGTTTAAATATCTTACCAAATCAATTAAAATATAGAGACAGAACATTTTATTGGTATAAGTATTTTAGCTTGACATTGACATTTCAGTTGTTGGTAGGAAAACTCTCATACATCAACAGTTGCCTAAGGGTCTTTATGCAGGTTCCTGTCCAGCTGAACATCCAGTAATGGAGTATATTCTCTGTCACTGTCATGTCCTCTGATTCTGGCCTGTAACTTCCCTCCAAACCAACCTCCAACCGGCGACATGTTGACAGCTGTAGTGATGTTTTTCACGTCTACCACTGACATTGCTAAATGTGCTATGTATTTGTCAGCAGGACTTAAAGCTCTGAGTGTTAAAATCTTCTTTTTACTCTTGACTGGCATTTTTATGAATGACTCTTGCTCATTAGGAGGAGCGTACTCACACACACGTCACATGTAGGTACACTCTTGGAAATCAGTCACACACACTTTGATCTAACGAAGATACGGTTATGGGATCAAAGCGTTCCCTCTTTAAATAAACTGATTGTGGTTTGGAGTCAGTAGGTATATTAATATGGGGATTAATATTCTGATAATAATTGGTTTTAAACGCCCAAACAGAATAGAAGTGCTCCATATAAACACTTCATTCAGAATAAACCGGTTTAGTCGGTTTCCAGAGGGGTTGTTTTAACCTTTTCAAAAAGCAATCAGAAGAAA